CCTTTTTTCTGCCCCCGCCGCCTCAGGCTCTCGGGGCCTCTCAGGCTCTCTCCTCCCTGCTCTTCTTGCCAGCCATCAAACGTAAGGGTCCCTGGTGTCTGCCAGGCCGCTGGGAACCGGAGGTGATGGGGACAGCCACCGGTCCCGCTTTCCCGGACTTAGGTCCCCGCTCCAACCGGGCGACAACCCCGCTCAACAGAACAGCAGGGGACGGATGTCGGAGAATGAGAAGGGGAGAAGTGGAGGGGTGAGGCGGACATGAGGGAGCAGAAAGGTTGAGTCAGATGAAGAATAGAAGATAACAAGAAAGGAGACACCATAATAGAGGGAGACATTTTAGGTTTACAGAGAAATCAGGCACTAGGGAAATGTGTGGAGATCTACAAAGATGACACCAGCTAACAATCTAAGCAACAGAGGAGAGGCTACCTTAAATGCCCTGATAATGAGATTGATGACTGACTTATATGCCACCCGATAGCCCTCATCCAGCAGCTGGTGGAAGTAGAAACGACACCCACAACTTATCACTGAACTGCACTGGAACCCAGATGCAGAGAAGGACGAGTGATGAGCAAAGGGGTCCAGACCAGGCTGGCAAAACCCACAGAACATCGGGGAGGTCTTGTTCCCCAGACTGATAGCTGGGATATCAGCATAGGACTGATCCAGACCCCAGGAACATGGGTTTCAGTGAGGAAACCTTGGAAATCTACGGGACCTCCTGTCGTAGTTCAGTACTTATCCCTAGCATAGGTGTGGACTTTGGGAGCGCATCCCACATAGAGGGACACTCCCTGAGCCAAGACACAAGGGGGTGGGCCTAGGCCCTATCCCAAAGGATATGATAGACTCTGATGGCCTCACCCTCCCTGGGAAGCAGAAAGAATATGTCATAGCTGGGGTAGGGGAGGGAGAGGGAACTGGGATTGACATGTAAAACAATCTTGTTCTAATTCAAATAAAAAAGAAAGAAAGTAGTGACAGCAAGGAGCAATCAGGGCCAGGCCAGAGCCAAGCCGAGTATTAACCTAGGCAGAATAGAACTGAGTCAGGAGTTGCCAGAGGATACTGGTAGATGTTCAGGAAGTCACATATACAGGCAGCAGAGACTGGCTAAGGTTGGACGCACCCTAAACACGGCCCAGGGCTCCAGTAGGGCTGAGTTGTGAGCAGGGTTTATTGGAGAAGGTACAGTTGGTCAGTTCTCTGGGTATATCTAGTGGATAAGACTAGCTTTATTATTTATTGTTAAATCGAATGGGAAAGAATTTTTAAAAAGGTAATACAGGGAGGAAGACCCCGGGGCCAGATTTAAAGCTGTAGGAAGGAAGAGAGTGATTTCAGGTTACAATAGTAGCCCTATATTGGGACTGGCCTCCTCCTTCTCTCTGTTTACCCATATCTATTTGTCACGTTATCTCCCTCTTTCCTTTTGAGGAAGGTTTTCACTATAAAGTCCATCTTCTGTCTATCCTCATCCTGTGTGTCTGTACACCCCCCCCCCCCCATGAAATGCATGCCAGGTGGCTCACGAATCATCATGATTCCCTTCCAGGTACAATCCTGAGAACCTGGCGACGCTGGAGCGGTATGTGGAAACCCAAGCCAAGGAGAATGCTTATGATCTGGAGGCCAACCTAGCTGTCCTGAAATTGTGAGTGTCTGTCCCCTCTCCACCCTCATGCCAGCTGCTAGCTAGCAGGATGCCACTCTGGATAGTTACCTGGCTGCCGATGTACCCATGGCAAGCTGCAGTGTGTGGCTTCTCTTAGGTGTGTAAACCTGGAAGCCAAGAAGGTCAAAACATACAAGATAATCTATAAACAATTCTATTGCTTCACAAATTACTGTAAATGAATATCCCTGTTGCTAGTGCTACTGGCCCTTTGCCACATGCCCTGCCCTACCAAACTCCCACCTTAGGTAGACACTGGGAACTCTTACGTATGGTCTGGCTTTGGGTACTTGCTTGCATCCAGATCAGCTTAGCTCAGACTTGCTTGCTTTGAGCTCAGTTGTAATCATGCAGCACAAGCTCTGTTTCTAGCATCTTCCTGTCAGTGCTGGGTTAGTGGCCTTTTCTTCCAGTGTGTGTGTGAGTGTGTGTAGTGTGTGTACACATGCCTGTGGCCTCAGACTTGCAACCTGCCTGGGTCCCTGGATTGCAGTTGTACGCCACTATAGCCAGTTTTGCAAGATGCCATCATTGCTTTGTCTCATTCTCCTCAGGTACCAGTTCAACCCAGCCTTCTTTCAGACCACGGTTACTGCCCAGATTCTGCTGAAAGCGCTCACCAACCTGCCCCACACTGACTTCACTCTGTGCAAATGTATGATCGACCAGGCACATGTATCCTTCCTTCTGGTGGCATGGGAGAAGGCTGGGGAGCAGGGCAGGTCGGGGCATCCAAAAAAAAAAAAAAAACCAGGTGCCTGCTCTGGGCTCAGCTCAATGCTGGGTCAGCCTCAGGTGCTGTGTGATGCTCATGCCTCTCATATGGAGGTTTGGGGACAGCTTGGGGTGGTCCGCTGTGGGTTGCAGGGATTCTGGTCATTAGGCTTGTGCCAAGCATTTTTAACTGCTGGACCATCTTGCTAACTTAGGATTTTAATTTTCATTCATGTATTTATTTTTTGAGTAAGGGTCTTCCTATATGATCCTAGCTGGCCTGGAATGTGGTATGTAGACCAGGCTGTTCTTGAACTCACAGAGGTCTGCTGCCTCTGTCTCCCCAGTGGTAGGTATTTTTTGAGATGTTGAGGATGGAACCCAAACCCTCACACTTGTAGCAAGTAGGCAAGCGTTGTACTACTGGACTACATCCCTGCATCCCTGATCCTCACTCCCAGTTCCTTTTCTGGTTTAAAAAAAAAAAAGAAAAGGAAAAAAGGCAGCTGGAAGAAGATGGGTGGAGAAGGGTGAGCTAGACCCACACCACAGCCTCCACAGGTTTCCGCACTGTTTCCTTAATACCTCCTGCTGCCAGCAAGAAGAGCGGCCCATCCGACAGATCTTGTACCTCGGGGACCTGCTGGAGACCTGCCACTTTCAAGCTTTCTGGGTAATGTCTTTTGGATGCTGGAGGGCATGCCTGGCATGTGGGAATCCCGGGGTGCCATCCCCACACAGTGTTTCAGAAACCAGACATGATTGGTGCACACCTGTATTTCCAGAAGGTGGGAACGGGAGGGCCATCCCAGCTGCACAGAGTTGTTTGAGGCCAGCCTGAGCTCCATGAACATTGTCTCAAACACGAAAAAGCAGTGGTATCTGCTTGGTCACAGGCTCTGTCCTCTGTCCCCTGTCCCATCTTCACATAGAACCAGGACTACCGGGTCATTCATTCTTTGCACCCGCATTGCTCAGGCTGGCCCTGTCTCCTATACTGTCTCTTCAGATGGAAACAAGCCCTGTTTATCCACTCTGAGCACCCTGCCTATCCAGCCTTCACATGGGAAGGCTGAGCTGGGCAGGTGGGTGGCCCCTGCCTGAGGTACCAGGTCTTAGGAGGCTGAGGATAGAGTTCTGGGCTAGGGGCTGCAGAGGTGACTTGGCGGTTAGGAGCTCTGCCTCACAGCCCTCTGAAACTCTGACTCCAGGGGATCCAGCATGTTTGTCTGGCCTCTGTGGTCACTGGCCATGCACCTGGTACACAGACATACATGCAGGCAAAACACCCACACCCATAAGATGTGTGAGTTTTTAAAATTAGAAATAAAAAGGTAGGTATTGTTGCAAAGGACCAGAACTTGGTTCCCAACACCCTTGCTGGGCAGTCTCTTCGGGCCACCATGGGCACTCATGCTCACATAGATACACTCACCTACACATAAAAGTAAAATGTTATCTTTTTCTTTAAGATTTATTTATTTATCATGTATACAGTGCATGCCAGAAGAGGGCACCAGATCACATTACATACAGATGGTTGTGAGCTACCATGTGGTTGCTGGGAATTGAACTCAGAGAAGAACAGTCAATGCTCTTAACCCCTGAGCCATCTCTCCAGCCCCCAAAATGTTATCTTTTGAAATAAATCTTTAGAAAAAAAAAGTTGGAGTCAACTTTTGCTGCATAGGAAGACTATTTAAAACACAATAGCAAAAAAGTAGGTGAGAAGAAAAAATAAAGCCTACAGTTCTCATGGGCCTCCAGCCTGCCAGTGTCTGCAGTGAGCCTGTGCATGTCTACTGTGCTTCTAAGAACAGCTTCAAAGTCGTTTGAGGCCCTGCTCTGCTTTGTCCAAGGCAAGGCTATAGAATATCAGACAACTGTGTGTTCAAAACAAAGTCTCATGTCTCAAACATTCCTGTTAAACGGTCAAGTCAGGGGCAGTGGCTTACCCTGCTCAGTGTCCTTTTCTCCCCATGTTGACTTAGAAA